ATACGGGCTCCAGCTCAGCTTGGAGCACAAACAGGCAAACGGGCTTCCCTGTGAGTGAGAGAGATTTAAGCAGACCCAAGGATGACTCAGTTGTGGAATCCTTTGTGGGCAACTGCTTTGTGCTGTATTAGTGAAAAATATGCAGGGGGAGGGAGAGAGAGGAGGAAGATAGGAAGGCAAGAAGAAAGGCATCATCTGATTTATCCTTCCAAGAATCTTGTAAGTCAGGAATCATTGTACCCACTTTACAGATGAGAAACAAAGCTCGGAGACATTAAGCTACTCTCCAAGCTCATTTCTAGTAGGAAATACAACTAAGCTACTAGTCCAGATCTGTCTGACTTTAAAGCCACCACTTTCTTTTAAAAGCATAAGGTCCAGAATTACACCACTGTAGCATAGCAACTGTTATTTTTCCCAAAATCCCCATTCAGTCTTTTCTTGTTCATGGGTAAAAAAAAAATGTGCATATCTTCTTTTGTTCATAAACATTTGTAATATTGCTAAATAGTCTTTACAATAATCACTTTTACATAATATTCCGCCCTGTGCACATATCATGATTCACTGAGCCATCACTGAACATTTAGGTGGTTTCAGTGTCTCAGGATTATAAATCCTCCCCTCCCCCACCTTTCCCAAGTCAGGCTCCCCTGGCATGAGTCAGGGCTCCCACCTGCCCTATGTCTGGAAGGTTATGTAGGTCACTGGAGCCTGATCATACCTGCAGTGGTGCAGCCAAGCATTCTAGTGTCTCTCGGAAGGTGAGATCTACTCAGAAAGTTGTGTCCTCTGCCCACACCTGACACTCTGCCAAGCCTGACATGGCCTTGCCCCTGCCACTGCCCCCCCATCCACTCAGGTGACAAAACCAGAGGAAGTGTGGACTTGTGGGGGAGGGCAAAGGCTGGCTGGGGTGAGCTCTTGCTACTGGTGAAGGCAGCCCCGTGCCCAGACATCTCAGGAGCCAAAAGGCACCCCCACGACCCCAGAATGGTCAGCAATGATCCTAGCACTGAGATAAGAGCCAGACCCCTGCTAAGGGCCTGGGGCATTGCTTGGTCCCCGTTCCCTTGAGAGGTCCCTTCTAGAGAGTTCTCAGCTCTCTGCCCCTCAGGGAACAGAGCCACATGCCAAAGTTGGCTTCCCAGCCGTTCTAAGAGAGACTCCAGAAGCAGAAACACTCCTGCGAGCAGGCATGCACAACCGCCTAAGGTGAATGGCTGAAGATCACATTTTCAGGATGCTTCTCTGTTTTATCTGTTTGCAAAGCAGATATTTGGGGAGGTTGGGCTCAGAATTGCTTCTTGGTTGCCATTCCCAGGGGAAATGGTTCGAATTCTTCGCATAGTTGGAGGGCTGTGAGGCAACAGAGAGGACTCCTCAGAGGCCTCTCCCGACCCAGGAAGATGAGCCACCACCTCGGCATCTTCTCTCCTTGGACTGCTTCTGGTGCGAGACACGCTGGACATTCTTTCCAAGAAGGCAGGGTGGTGGGAAGCCTCTAGGGGGGCTATTTGGAGGAGAGTCATTGCATTACTTATGCAAGCCCAGGACAGAGAGTGCTTCCAGAGGTCATGTTCTCCATACCCCTGCCCAGGGCAGCACACCCAGTGCCTGCAGAATTAGCCTTTGGAGATGCTTACAAAGTGTTAGTGACAGTTGCTTTCTTGAGCCATCGGGATTTCTATTTTTTTTCCGAGTATGTTGATGTTTTTTTTTTTTTCCTTTTAATAAAAGAACACGTATCCTTTTAAAACAAAATCAATAAAGTTTTTTTTTTAATAAATAAATAAAAAGGCCCCAGAGTCAGGGCATTTCATCTGTTGCCTTGATTGTAAGCCCCAAAGTGCCACGATCTTTCTCGTCAGGAAATCATGTCACCCTGATCTACCCTTTCCTGCAGCCGTTTGGATACCCTGCCAAGCTGCTGAAAGGAAGTGGGGGTAGTAGCCTCCTTGGTCAACCTGTGGCTGGTGCGCGTTCTTCACGGGGCACGCTGGCCGGAGGCCAACAGCCACACCTATAGAATTCTCTGAGATGAGGAACAGCATGTCTGAGACCACTCAACGGAGATAGCCTCACAGGCTAGCCGGACTTGATTCAGGCGCCGCTCACTGCCCGGAAACGCAGGGAGAGAAATTCCCCTTCCGGCACCAGGTCCCTGCTCAGCTGGGAGGTGTAGATGTGTCCTCAGGAAGCTCGGCCCCAGGCCCCCTGCGAATGGCGCTGTCCTGCTTTATGGGCCCTTTGAACAGCCACGACTTTCACTGCTTCCTTCGGAGCGTTGGGAAAGCACCGGAAGGGCGGCGTTGATGGCAGAGGGAAGGCCAAGCAGCGTGTGGCCTGGTTGAGCACCCTGTGACTGCTTGATGGGAGACTGGCGGGGAAATCCTCCTGGGAGGCTGATGCCAGGTGTGTGGGTGGGATTGAAGAGAGGGCCGGGGGCCCGTCCCTGGGGTGGCCACTGTCCAGGAGGAGAGAATGAAAGGCATGCCTCAGAAGTGTCAGGGCCCAACAGGTGTGTGTGCCCGAGGGCTGCCGGGCGGAGAGCCTCACGCTGCCCGCCCGTCCAGTGGGGCAGAGACTGTCAGCCCTGGCCGCTCATCACACGTCGCCAGCTGACCTTCTGAAACCCCCAGTGCCGAGGCTGTGTTCCAGACCAAGTCAATCAAACCTTTTGGAGGTAGGAGTCAGGGATCAGTGTTTTTTTTAGAGCTTCCGGGTAACTAAAATATTCAGCCACGGTCGAGAACTGTGCTTTAAAGAGATAGCTCATGCGTCCCAGGCTCATCAAACAAAATAAACAGGGCTCCTCCTCAGTGATTCATGGAGCCGCCTTCTCCCTAGAGGCCCTCCTTGCTCTCTAGTCTCTCAAATTGCTGCCATTCTTCAAAACCCACCCCAATCCCCACCCCTCCCCCCGCCCCGTCCTGAGGCAAGCCCTTCCTGGCTGCGGCAGCTGCAGTGAGCACGTCCTCTGAGGTCCTGAGGTCCCCTGTCCCCTAGGACCTCTGTTGCGTCCCATGCATAGCCATCGGTTGACCAGTTGCCTTGTGTATGAATGCGGTAACCGGTGCCCTTGGGGGGCAGGTACTCTGTGGCAGGTTATGTTTCCTTGTAACCCACCGACCTATCACCTACTACCACTCACTGCCTGTAGGAGTTGCTTCATAAGTATTTTGGGGCTCATTTACATTTTATTGTATTTCAACATTTCAGGCAATCTTGGTGAAAGAGTTGAAAGAATGTCTGATACAAATTAGCGGTTTTAATGTTGATCAATGACTGTGGTCACAGAGATGAGTATGGTGGGCAGCAGGGGATGGGAATGGCTGCAGGAAGAAAGGCCAAAAAAATGCCTGTTAGGCTGTCTTCCAGGAATGTACATGTAACGATATAGACCCGCCCTCACACGGCCCAGTCTCTGCATCGAACTTCTTCAAGGCCATGGCATTTCCACAGGGTGCTGGGCAGGGACGGGGTGCTTTCTGATGAAGAGCCCTTGACATATTTATTGCAGTTCCTTAAGGAAACTTGAAGAACTGAGCCCACACTTTTAATTTCCTCTCTACCTCCCGCCCTCCCTGCCCAATACATCACATCTGAGGAGCTCATATACCATCTAGGCCTTGAGTAGAGAGAAATAGGAAGGGTGGTCCAGGCAGAGACACTAGCGGAGGGCACAGTGCTTACTGGGTTCTCAGAATGGCCAGTGATCCTGTGAGTGTGGAAGGAAGGGGATAAAGGTTGGGAGTAGATAAAAAGAGGCTGAAAAGGAGGATCAGAGACAGTGTAGGATGGACCTTGAATCACAGGCGGGGGGTGGACTCCAGGATTCACCATCCAAAGCGTAAGACCAGGAGGTGGTATGATGGGGTCCCTCTGGTGACACGTAAGGGTAGACATCGGTCAGGGCATGACAGCAGGTGACTGGGCCAGAGAGAGGCTGTGGGCAAATGTTGGCACAGTCAAGTCCCCCTGTGGCTGCCAGGGAAGATCTTTCTGGGCCCCGTGCCTTCAGGTGTGTTCTCAGGCCTGGCGCCAGCACTGGAGGTGCTCCCAGATACCTTACCCAAGAGACCCCTCCAGAGGTCCCGGCCTTCCTGGCCAGTCACCCCCAGACTCAAACCGTCCACTCCACTGGCTCCTCCAGCCTCTGAGCTGAGATCAGGAGTCCCCCAGATATTGGCAGCACCACCCTCAGATGCCTTCACTCTCAGGCCAACATTTCTACTTATGTCCAAGGCCAAGGACATTTATAGTCACCACCATATAGAAAACAAACAAGCAAATCTTTAGCTAGACTCAAACAATATGAAATATATTTTAGTGACTATTTAAAAGAGAGAAATGGCTCCTTAATGTCAATCTTTACCAAAAGGTTTTAGAAGTCTGGGCTGCTTGCATTTTCCAGGAAGCTGGTGCTGAGAGGAAGTTAGGAGTTCAGGTTGACTTACGGGGCAGAGGAGGTAACCCCTGTGAAAGAAGAGGGAAAAAACGGGGTTGGAGCCTGCAGACTGCCGTGAGACCTGACATCTCTGCCAGTCCACCAGGGACTGCTAGAGGAGTCCAGTGATGGGTGGAAATGTGGAAACTGCTGGGCTCTTGTACCACCACCTTGCTCAGTTATTGGCCAAGGCCACCCCAAGAAGAGCATAAATTTGGTCTGAAAGCTAAGTGGACCCTGCAGGAACCCACAGCTGAAAGCTGCCAGTTGACCATGGCTTTGCAGCTGGGCAGTCCTTGCTTGGAGAGAAATCTTCCTGTCTGCCATGGAGCCCATCCTCTCCCAGCCTCCAGTCTGAGTGGGCCACACCTGGTATGCGTGAGCCCCATGTCCATATCCATAAGGGGTCCCCTTCACTCTCTCCATCCATCACCTTCCTTCCCTCCTGCCTCACTGGACAAAGGGCACCTCTCTCCAAGGATCCTGTCTGTCTTTCCCCTCCCTCTACTTCCCAACACTGAAGCCCTTCCCTTCATTTATCTCCTCACAGTACTCTACCCAAAACTCACTGCTACCTGGGAGAAGATCTGTATGACTTGAATCACCAAGACTCATCTTCCTAAGATAGAAAAAGCTCAACATAAGTCACAGATGTAACCAAACAGAAAAATGAGCAAAAGGTATGAATGGATGGCTTATTATGGAACAGGAAATACAAATGGCCCTTAGGTGAAGAGATGCTAAACCTGACTCACTGTAAAAGAAATTCAAGTTAAGACTACACAGAGATACCATTTTTCACCTATCAGATTGGCAAATATCAAAAAGTTTCGTGGGGAAACAAGCACACTCACAGGTGGGAATGTGAATTTGGTAAAGCTGGATGGAAGACCACTTAGCGACAGCCCTCTCAGTTACAAATTCCCATGGCCTTCAAAAGGCAGGAAAACGTAATGGTTCAGAGAACAGACTGGAGCCAAAGCACCATGGTCCCAATCCCAGCTGTCCAGGTCACCTGACTCCTCCCTGCCTCACTTTTTCTCATGGGATGATAGTAGTACCTACCTCCGGAGATTCTTCTGAGGATTAAAATACATTAATTATTGTGAAGCACTTAACGCAGTTCCCAGCTCTTAGTAAATGCCATGCAAATGTTAATTATCATTGTTATTAATTGGCCCAGCAATGCCACTGCTAGGAATGTATCCTACAGATACACTTGCACATGTGCTAAATGAGTGTACCACATTATTCACTGCAGGACTGATGCAACTGGGGAAAACTGGAAATAGTCCAAATATCCCTAAACAGGCTAAAATAATTATGTATAATTCAATACTATGTGGATGCCACATAATGGCAAAGAAGCTCTTTAGCACTGATCCAGTGTGTAGAGAACACTACCAGAAGTTTCTAAATAAGGAATAGTATCAACACAAGTCCACATTGCCTTATCCACAGTTAGGAAATTCTCTATTTTCAATTCTCTTTTCAACTACGAAAATCTCTAAAAAACACAGAAGTGGTTTTTTAAAAAAAATAAATCTGGCACGAACACATTCAGTAGCAAAACCTGAACTGAACTGAAGTCACTTAAGGCTGATTATGGCTTTATTTAACCTACTTGGTGCAGAAATATTAGCTTGTTTTATTACAGACTCTGTTGGGGTTTGTATACTCCTTGACTTCTGAATTCCCAAAAACACCTGCCCCAAGGGGTTCCAGATAAGGAAGTATGGACCTTTATTCACCTTTTTTCTTTTTTTCCATTAAAATATCTCTTGATGCACAAGAAACTAGTGCCAGTTGCCTCTAATAAAAGGAGCTGCCTGGCTGTGCAACAGGAACGTGAGGGGCAATTTTACTGTATTTGAATCCAAGAATTTAAAGAGTCTGTGGCTATCTTACTTATTTGACAAATAAATCAATACCCCGAAGACCTCCTCAGCCCAGGCCACCAGGTCCTCTTAAAGCCTGAACACCCTCTTAGGTGCCTGGGAAGCAAGACTGGAGGGTGGGGGCTGTGGGACCAGAGCCTCCTCTCTGACTCACCACACTGCCCCGGGCTCAGTGGCAAGGTCTCCTCCCTACAAAAGTAGAGATAATGATAGTGACTCAATGGCGGGCACTCCGATGGGCCGATTGGCCGGGAAGCCAGGTTCTCTGGCCGGCATCCTCCTGCATACCTTTCCTTCCGGAAGGGCGGGAGCCAGCCTCCAGACTCCTCCTCGCACCCCTCCCTGGAGAGACCCCATGAGAGCGCATCAGATCCATTTGGGAGTGGCAGGGTCCCCGTGGACTGAGGGTCAGGGTGGAAAGCAGGGTGCACGAAACGTCAATGCCACGGAGGATGCACAGGAAGTTCTCCCAGCAACCCTATTTTCAAGGGTGAAAATTCAGGACAAGCCTCATGTCAACGTGACAGGGGGATAGTTAAATAAGTCCAGGAGGTGGATAGACCTGAATATGCTGGTACAGAATAATGCCACGACCTAGTGTTGAGTGAAGAAAGCAAATTGCAGAATAATAGATATATTATATCATGTATATTATATATATAAATTATATATTATATAATTATAATATATATTATATCATAATATATAATTAATAAATTATAACACCTATATATGATGACACAAAAATACATACATAACCCGGCAAGGACACTTAGCCAGATGAGGCAGGGAGGAGAAACTAAGAGATGAAAGGTGATCATGCATAAGAAAAGAAGAAAAGTAAGTGGCAGATGGGCAAGCTGAATGCCAAGTGCCAGTCCAGTGGGGCTACCCATGAGAAGCCTGCCCGTCACACCCAAGAGACTCAGGAATCAGGACACAGGCTCTGTGGACGGTGTTAGAGTAGAAAGCAGGAGCAGTTACACCCCACCTCCCTCACGGACTGGGCAGCAGGCTATCTTATGTCCATCATACAGGGGGGACTGTCGAGAAGTTAAACCCAAGGGATGCTTGATATAGGAGCAACACTCACAACAGGGTGGGGAGGCAGACGACTCAGCACTGAAAACCGGGGATTGAGTGAGAGTCGACATGTGAAGAGCAAACCTACCAAGCCCTTTCCCCCACAACCCCAACCACTGCCAGCCAGCCACCCAGTGACGCCTGCCCTACCCATGTGGACCAGGGGACCATACCATCCTCAGAAGAAACTGGATGACTTCAGAGAAACAGACCCCCCAGACCAAGCCCTGGGTCTTCCTACCACCCTCCAGTGAAGCACAGCTCTACCTAAGCACACAGAGTTTCCAGTTAGACTTTCTTAGCTCCCCTCCTGAATTATGAACAGATATGTCAGAGTCACCCATCCCTGGAGAAAACCTCCAACACAAAAGACAGAAACCACAACACAGAAACAGAATAAAAGCAGACAACGGGTAATGCATAGAGTAAAAGAAAACATCAAAAAAAGTCAATAATATCTTCAGAGAGGTGAGAAAATGGCTTCCATGAAACTAGATCAGAATTATATTTTTTTAAGGCAGAGGGGGAAAAAAACTCTTAGAAATGAAACGTGTGATTCTAAAATAAAAACAGAGAAGATTTAATGGAAAGATTGGGCGCTGAGAAAAATCATCCAGAGAGAAGAATAAAAAGAGAAAGGACAGGGGAGAAAAGATGTGAAAACTCAGAAGGTTAATCAGAAGGCCCTCCGCATGGAAAGCCAGCACAGAGGGAAGGAGCAGGAGGAAATGATATATAAAAATATCACAGGAAAATGGCCCCAGACCAAAGGACATCAGCTAAGTGCCTGTCGAGTAGCTAGAACAATAAAGGAGGAAAGACCCACGGCAAGACAAGTGGTGGTGAGATTCCAGAACGCCTGGTGTGAAAAAAAGGGCCTAAAGGGCTCCGGCAGGAAGACAACAGGGCATGGACAGTGGGAATCAGAGCGGGGAGACCTGTGGGAAGAGCGGAGCCGGGTCAGCGCAGGACTGGGGGAGACCCGGGAATTCATTCTGCAGCTGCGTTACCATTGAGATGCTTTTTCAGATGTATAGGCAGTTGAATGTAAGTCTGGAATTTAAGGGGGTTTTAGTGCAAATTTTTCTTCTTTTCGTGTGTGTGTGTGTGTGTGTAGAAAGCCCCCACCAACCCATTACCCAGGTAGCAACCTAGTGCATATCCTTCCATATACTTGTCTCTATGACTATATATATACACGTATACAAACAGATATACACATACATATACGCACTTATATCCATATGTAGACAAACACACACATATACAAGCACACCCATATGTGTGACTACATAGCAGAATGCAATTCTTGGACCTCTGTCTGTAGCGTTTGCACTGAGGCCAGGCCTCCCTAGCCAGTGACTGAGCAGGGCAGGGACAGGAAGCCAGGCCTGTTCCCAGGACACAGGACTCCAAGAACCTGGGACTTGTGCTCAAGGACTCCCTATCCAAGTTGCAGAAACTTTCTTAGAACAGCACTGTGGTTCTTGGCCTGACTCTCCCAGCCTCCTCTAGCAAACTCCCCATTGTTTACTAATGGGAGTTTTCCCCGATAAACCTCTTGCTAGTTGGATCCCATTCTGGTGACTGATTCCTGGAGGACCCAAAAAACAAAACATAGGTTTTTAAATTATTGTTTTAGCTGAATACTGTATATGTTTTTCTTCCTCTTGCTTTTCTTACTCATCAATAGCTAATGAAAATTTACCACTAATATAGCTCTGGTTCATTATTTTTAATGCTGTCTAATAGTCCTAGAAATGGAAATGCACTATAACTTACTCAGCCATTTGCTGATGAGTGGACATTCACTTGGATTCCAAGTTTGGACACTCTGGACAATGCTGCAATAATTATCATTATCTTGTATAGGTATTTAAGGACAGATGATAAAGAATGGATTGGTGATCAAAATATACTCATACACACATAATTTATACAAGTTACAATATATAAAATTATTAACCTTATATAATAATTTTCTTTCTTTCTTTTTTTTTTTTAAAGATTTTATTTGTTTGAGAGAGAGAGACACAGCGAGAGAGGGAACACAAGCAGGGGGAGTGGGAGAGGTAGAAGCACGCCCCCCGCGGAGCAGGGAGCCCGATGTGGGACTCGATCCCAGGACTCCGGGATCATGACCTGAGCCGAAGGCAGACGCTTAACGACTGAGCCACCCAGGCGCCCTATAATAATTTTCATTGATGTTCCCAGATTGATTTTTTAAGGGCTATAAAAATGCACATTTCTATCACCAATGTATGTAACTATCTCTTTCTCTGCAGGCCCACTAGCAATAGGTATTACCAATCCTTTTCATTGTTTTTCAAGCTGACCTAACCATTTCACTACTAGCAATTCCTCTTTTTTTTTTTTTTTTTTTGGCTCTTTGGAATTGCTTTCCCATAAACTGCCAGCATTTCCATTGGGCCATTTATCTTTTTCTTGTCAATTTGTAGAAGTTCTTTGTACCCTTTGTACTGCTTTGTAAATAGTTTCCACTTCTCTTTATCTGCCGTCTTTGTGTTATCTTCTGCCACAAAAAGTTTAAATTTTAATCCAGTTAAATGTGCTCATCTTTTCTTTCATAGCATCTGGGTTTCCGGTTATTTGTCAGAGCTTTCCCCCCGCCCCAAGTCTTCATGATCCAAGAAGGCTGCTAGACCTCTAGCCATCATCTGTATTACAAGCAGCAAGATGGAGAAGGGGACAAGAAGGGCACTCCACCTCCCTTTGAAAGGAACTTCCCAGAAATTTCCACATGCTGATTCCACTTACATGTCACTGGCCATGACTTACTTACACAGCCATAGCTAGCTGCAAGGAAAATATCGTCAGGGCTGTCTTTGGGAAATGCAACCCGTCACACCCACACTTAGAAAGAGGGGCACTCTTGCTTTGCAGCATTCAACAGACAAGCAGAGACCACACGCTGCTAAGGGTGGGCTGGAGCCTAGGAACCCATCTCTCAGGAGAGAAAGGGTCTCTATCTTGGTCCCCACCGGCATGATGCTTAAGATGGTAAGCCTACTAAGTCACGGAAAGGGCATTCAGGAGGGTCTCAGTTCCGAGGCTTGTGTGAGCATCATCCCAGAATGGCCCCAGCTTCCAGAGGCGGCACATCTGCCTGGAACACTATTCTCAGTGCCTTCGCCAGGGGATGGGCAACAGGTTTGTGGCTGGGTGGGGAATAGCTAAGCTTACTGGCATACAGGGCCAATGGCTTCTGAACTCGGGGAAACACCATTAGGTACTTCCAGGCAGATGGGGGTTTTAGAGAATTGCTTATGATTCATGCCAGTCTGCCTGGGGCGGGGCGGGGCGGCGGGGGGAGGGAGGTCAGAGAGAAAACATAACATTGGAAATACTTTCTCATTCCTTCACTCAGTCACTCACAAGGCCACCTGTCATCTGCTGAGGGCCCAGAGAGAGGCCAGTCACATCTACCCAGATAGTTCTTACAGGTTTTCTTCCTGTATGTCTGGTCTGTAGAAAGAGAAAAGCACCCATGGAAGAGGTAGGTCAATGGAGAGCAGCTGACCACAAAGAATAGAGAGTGAGAAGCTCAGCCTAGAAGAAGCTGGGAAGTAAGATGCTAGCACGTCATGCTAAGGGTGATGTGGATTCTAGCAGACAGACTGCAGGCAAAAGCCGGTTCCATCTCGCCCCAAATGGGTCCTCTTCTCTGACTCCCCTCACCTCACTGGGCTTTGCCTTTCTCATCTATAAAGTAGGAGGGGCCGTCCTGGGCCTTCCCCCTCGCCAGCCTTGAGAAGGGGTTGATTCAGGGAGTCCTCCAGGCTCTCACAAGTCAGAAAGCCCGTGATTAGCTCTGCTGTTCAGACTAGCATGCTCTGCTACAATTCTCTTGGGTTGTTTTTAAAATGTCTTTAAGAAAAGTATACAGTATTATAGGTTCGCTGTTAAAATAACCAGGAAACACAGACAAGACAAAAAGTAGGCCATAAAGGAGAGAAAAGAGCTGTTCATGTCTCAGGTTATGCTCTTTGAACTTCCAATATCTGAACATATTTTTAATAGGACTGTACTTTATATATGGTTCTGTAACCGCCTATTTTTCACTCAATACTGTATGCCATGAGCTTCTTTCTATGCCAGTAAGCTAACCTCCATGACATGTTTTAATGCTTGTCTGATAGTCTGTCAGTGCTGCATTCAATTCTGAACACAAGATCGGTAGCACTGATGTTTACTTTCTCACTGGCCCCAACTGGACTAGTGTAGAACTGTGACGGATCCTCTCTTTATTTAAAATCTTGCTCTTTTGTTCACCATGGACTGATTTTATCTGTTAAAATATCATGTCTCTTGACTCTGGTGGGTTTTGGCACTTGTTATGTTCTGAAGGCCCGAGGCCTATGTTATGCCCCGAGGCAAGAACCTCACTGGCTTCACCCTGGTCCCAGGCCTACGCCACATGATGAGCAGTCCATACTTTGTATCACTAATTGTTGGGAGTCTAAGATTTGTCCGATGTTTCCTGTTTATTTGTCTGTATCTCCAGCACCCAGCGCAGTGCCTGACACCTGATAGGCACATAGCTATATTTGTTGAATGAGTGAATGCACAAATGAATTGGTGGAGGAAGGAAACACTACGATGATCATTCTTTTTTTTTTTTTTTTAAAGATTTTATTTATTTATTTGAGAGAGAGAGAATGAGAGAGAGCAAGCACATGAGAGGGGGAGGGTCAGAGGGAGAAGCAGACTCCCCGCCGAGCAGGGAGCCCGATGCGGGACTCGATCCAGGGACTCCAGGATCATGACCTGAGCCGAAGGTAGTCGCTTAACCAACTGAGCCACCCAGGCGCCCCATGATGATCATTCTTATGGGGAGTGTCAAGAGAGGAGTGTGAGAGGTACAAGCCCTGATGCACAGGGAAGCCCACGTGTCCGCCACACAGAGCCCTGGAGAGGAGAGAGCCTGAGTCACGTGGGCGTGGGACGGCTCTCTGGTGGGCCAGCGTGTTATCTTGGTGTATGCACTGCACAGGCCCACCTGGAGCCCCCTTTGGAGGTCCCCACCATTTCCCAATGGAGCCATCACTACTCTGGCCTGGCCCTGGCCCAGACAGCTGGAAGCAAAACACTGCCACGTCCCCACTGTGGGACTAGCACATGCTCACGCAGAGACACCCACACCCAGCCCCAAGAGCTTCCTTCACAGGGGCTGACTCAGGAGCTCCCTTGGACACTGGGCTGCAGGCCCACTGGCTGGGCCACTTCTCTTGGGGCACCAAGACAGTGCTCCAGTGTGGAGCTGCCTCTCCACAGCAACAGCAGTAAGGGATTTTCCCAGCCCTAAACCAATGCACGGAACTCTAAAATAACAAAGCCAGAATCCAAGAGAGGAAATTCTAAGAACATGAACTAAGTCAGAGGAGCAGAGGTGGCTATTTATTTTCCAGGGTCTGCCTGGCCCTCTGCTTCCCTGCCCCCACCCCAAAGGCTGGGGAAGAGGTCCGGATTCAGATGTCAGCACCACAAAGCTAAAGGAAACCCATCTTCCTGTGTTTGCCAAGGAACAATGCTGGAGAGGCCATTCCAAGGCCTGCACTTTTCCTCTGTACAGAAGAATTTAGGTCCCAGGGCAATTCTGGGAGGGGGGGGCCGATAAGGAATTTCTGCAAGTAAACATTCCTGTTCTATCACTCAGGGATGTTTGGGACCTATAGGCTATGATCCCCTGCAGTGTCCCATGTGCACACAGATCCATCCTGACCCACCCAAGGTGAAGATCTGGCAGTGGATTTGGAGCCCTGGCCCCACCCTGCAGCCAAGCAACTGAGAGTCAGGTCTCATCCCCCTCCTCAGTCTCTAGCTCCCAGCAGGGCTTTCTGTCCTCCCCTCCTTCAGCTCCTATCAGGCTTTATCAGTCCTTCCCTGGACAACTGTCCAAGTCCAACCTTCCTGGCCCTGACCCTCCTTGCTTTGTTCATCCTATGCTCAGCCAAGGGTCACCTTCCCACACTGCACCTCCAGGGGAGGCCCTTCTCCACTCCCAACCCTCCACACCTACAGCACCAGGTTCCCCAGATATATTCTGGGGCCTTCATCATGGCCAACCACACCTGTCTTATCTCCTGCATGCTCCCCTTCCTCAACCGGGGAAGGACAAGAAAACAGGAAGTTCCCTGACGAGACCTGCAGTGTCCACCCCTTGGCCAGGCACCTCCTCAGAAATGAAGGGCTGGAGGACTGCTGCCCATTTCAGAGGCAGAAATGGTTGCCTTGAAGGGAAGAGGAGTCAGTGAATTAAGCAAGGTGTTGAAAGACCAGCCAATGTTTATTGAGCACCTATTAGGTACTAGGCTTCATGCCAGACGCTTTAGGGGTCTTATCTGTCAGTCTCCATGATACTCCAAGGCAGCATGCAGAGTCCCAATCCTCTTGGATGGCCTCTTGCAGAATAGGGCTCCATAAACCAACCAGTATCACACAGACCGAGGTGGACACTGATCCTTTTGCTGTGACTCAGCTGGCCATCTGGCAGGCACTTTCAGGGAAAACAAGCCCAGACTCTGCTTGGGAGCCATTCTCTTCCCCTGGCCTCCGCATGCAAGATTCCCCCTGTCCAGAACACCCTTCACCCTCTTTAGGGCCAACTCCTATTGGCCTTTCAGGTCCTTTTGCAGCTTCCCCTGGGAAGACCTCCTGAATCTCCACCCCAGTCTGGGTTATTCTTCTGTGTTCCCCTACATGTTTCAGCAACTGTCTCCAGGATCAGAATGGCAGCTCCTCAAGGTCAGGAGATGCCTTATTCACCTCTGTGTCCCCAGAATTTAGCTCAGGGACAAACACAGAGCAGAGGCTCACTAAATATTTGTCGAATGAATGAAATGCTTACTCTTGGGTATTCAGTCACTCCCGGATTGGATCACCTTCCTCTCTCCAGGCCTTGCCATCCGCAACATGCCCTAAAGACATCCTAGAGTCTGAATTCTGTGCCCCTTAAGGCTGGTGGTAGAGAGGGTCGGTCCCGTCTCCTTCTCGGTGCCTCAGTAGACGGCTTGTGGTTTCCCTCCTTTTCTAAACCACACCTGGTCTCAAAACCCCTGCCCAGGGCCTGGAGCTGAGTCCCCGGGGGCCTGACAGCTCTCAAGGCCCTATCCTCCACCTGGGCATGCTGCTGGTTCGGTGCGGTGGCAGAGAGGGCGCCTCTCGCCAGGAGCCGCTGCCTGGCGTTCTCCGACGGGAGGGGACCGAACTTGTGCGTTCAGGGCGCGTAGCGAACACGCTGTTCACATTCCAGCGCCGGCCGGAATGCGGACAGGGGA